GAGGAAGAGATGCACCACAAGGCCTTGTAGAAAAATGGTCCAAGTTATGGCTGGTTGCCATAGAGACAGGAACCGCGAGAGCACTGTAAGTCTAAGGCAGCTCTTTAAGTGTCTTGTGCTCTTTCCTCTGATGCTCTATCACTAGCTTGATTCACAGCCCTGTCTCTACTCTTGTCTGCTGTGTCTCTGCCAACTCCCAACGCTCTGTACTTCCCAGTCCACATCTCTTAATGATAGAGCCAGTCTGCCTCTAGGTGGATGAGCAGTATGTGAATAAGCAGTTGCTGTCCACGGCTGTCCAGTGGATCTTTCTTATTCTTAACCATTGTACCCTGAAGTATGATGTACAGTAATTGCTCAATAAATGTGTTACATTAATGAACAATGAAATCTCCCTAATTTTTCGCTCCTTATGTATCCTAAGAATATGTTCACTTCATATGTATTTTTACTTTACCTGTTAGCTTGCAACATACTTTTTAAAATTCCTTCTTGCATTTCTGGGGCTTACAGATGGTAGACAGCAAAAGATATATGTAAAGTGTATACTATGAGAGGAAGTACCGCAAAATGTAACTTGATCACTGCACATTTGGTGCTTTGAAAACTTCTGCAATGGCTAAGAAGACTGAGCCCCATTCTTTTTACTCCTTGTTTTCTGCCTCAGAAACCAGACACAGGAAACATCTGATCATAATAAAAGACTCCAGTAAATTCTAGACTTCCTCATTGAATAGTCATGTATGGCAAGGTTCTGTCATACTTGGTCTGGGATTCTGTTTGGTCACTTGTGCAACACACCACATGGCTGCCTCTGGCTTAGGAGCCAGAACAGCTGGAGCCTGGGATGCTTGAAGTAAAAATTACTTACTTGTTAGGTGGAAAGGGAAAAGTTTGCATATTCTTACACTGTATCTTGCAAAGCAAACTTCTCAACCTGTTCAACACTAAGTTTTCCCTAGCTGTCAGTATGGTTTATGACTAAAATAATCTTAAGTCTTTTAGAATAAGCCCAAATAATGAACAGCCAAACGATTTCCGAAGTCCATGCCTTTAATGCTCAGAACAAAATTTCATCTCAGCTCTATGAAACATTATCTCACTAACTTCCTCTAGAAGTTACATTGTCTTATTAAAGATCCATGCTTTTAGAAGCATTGGGCTATTATTGCCTCCTGAACACCCTTATCTCACTGTACCTTAAGTGCCTCTAACTTGTCTGTCTTCCTTGGTTGGAAAGCAAGATTGTTGGAAAGCTCTTTTTGAGCTACATATTTGTGTACCTGGCTTAGCCTGGCACATGATAATATTTCTGGGAAGGAAGAAAGAAGAAGTGGGAAAGCCCAGTTTGTTGAAGGATTGATACAGTTAGTATGAAGCATAAAGACGATCTCAGTAACGAGAAAAGCTGAACAGTCTCTGCACTTACAGTGATTAACGAAGGCTTAATGAAGGCGAGCAAGAACCTTCCATCCTTTCGCATCACTGCAGAGTGTGTGAGACGCTAAAATCCTAGATCTGCATTAGAAAGTTCTTTTTTAACTTTCATTTTTTCCCCCTCCTGCCTCAGCCCTCTGAGTAGCTGGAACTACAAGCTGTGTAGCACCATACCTGACTTTTAACTATTTTTTCCCTCATGAAAAATAATACACTTTTACTCAAAAATTTTGTAAAATTACATAAAATAGACATTACCTATAATTCTGCAATCCAGAATCAACCATTGTTAACATTTAGCCTTTTTTAGTGTTAGGTAATATTAGACTTTCACATTTATTTATTCCTTCTTTACATTTAGGTTGAAGAGATTAAAAAAGATTAAATCAGAACTGCTTGTGAGGTAAGAAGGTAAATTACAGTTGGAATAATTTTTACCAGCTGCAATACAAATTTGAGATACTTTTTTATTGATGTTCTTTTGGCAAGTCAGTTCTTTGGACATCTGTTCCCACTTCCTCCAGGTGAATGTGACCCCTCACCTGGGACTTTTCTATTTGTCCTGTGGCACTACTCTGTGTGTACATTTTTATCTTCTCAGGATGTGGTCCAGCTTGAATCCGTGTAGCTTCATAGAACAAGGACAGTTCAGCCTCAGGATTGACCAGAGCCAAGAGCCGATCCCCAGGATAGATTTCCCCTCACTTGTGAAATGTCCCTCAAATAACATCAGCTTTGAAAGAAAACAAGGATACTTACTAGTTTATTCTTAGTTTAGATAAGCACATTGACCACTTTGTGGTCCCCAAGCTTGACACCAAAGCCTCAGGATGAAGAGATAATCCTAGTCCTCAGGAAGCTTGCAGCTCAATGAGAGAGAAAGAGCAGCCAGCAAGGGTCATAATGTAGTGTAATAAATGACTTAGCAGAGGTGCACCTATGGCCTGAAGAAGAGTGGGAGCAGCTTTGATCAGAGAAGGCATCCAGAAAAGGGAAGAATTGAGTTGCGTCTCAGTGGCAAAGTTGGAGAGTTTTTATGCAAACTGGAGAGATCATTATATTAATGCCTAAAGACAGGAAGGCAGCTGTCTCTTTTGGGGAAAATGCAAGTCATTTAATAAGTCTGAAACGTGAAGTGTAAACATAATGGTAAAGAATGTGCATGTCAGAGGTTGAATTTACAAGCTACTGGTTGTTTCATTTTTTGTGTTTGTTTTGTGATGCAGGGATCAAACAAGGACTTCGTGTATGCTTGGCAGGGATTCCGTCCCTGAGCTACATCCCCAGCACCTGCGGAGGGCTTTTGCTAAAGAGTGGCCCACTATACTTTTTGGAGAAATCCAAAGTGTGGAAAGAAATAGGTCAAGTCTGAGGCAGGAGTTGTGGCTAGGGGCTGTCCAAGTAGTCCCAGCAAAAAAGGACAGGTAGCTGTCCAGAGAAACAAATTGATAGGTAGGAAGTAAGTAGTAATGGCCTGTGACTGGAGGTGGCAGCCAGACTGACTGTGACTAGGTATGGAAGATCTTTTGAGGGTGATAGAAATAGGAAATTTTCTAAATAGTGAATTGTAAACTTAAACTGAGTGAATTCTGAGATATGCAAATTATAGCTGAGTAAAGCTGTTTACAGAGGAGAGGAAGACTTTTCCATTGAGAGGACAGATTAAAAAATAATGAAAAGAGTAGAACTTATCAATTAGATATTGCTTGTATGAGATAGGATAGTCAACTGTGTGTTCAGCCAGCCATCCTAATTGTGCTTCTTCCTTTTTGTAGAAAGGTAACATCCTTACCTTTTTCTTGGTAGATTTCAGAGCACACAGATGTGTCCTTAACTGACTGTATAAAACATCTGTCTTTAGATCCTTATCAGAATCGGCATGCACTAGTTCGCTACAACTGACTGCTCAGTAAACTCAGGGTTGTGAGAAAACGTATTTATGAAAGATTACCTGAAGGATATGTGGCCCATTTATTTTTTTAGGCATTACAATTCATTAAATAATTATTGTCAAGTGTTACGCTGGTAACATAGCAGTGAATGAAGCAGATATGGTATCTGCTCTTATGGAGTTTATAGTCTTTTAATAGGAACAGATGTTATTTAGTTATAACTATTGTGTTGAATTTCTATGTGTATTGAGAGAAAATGACTTACACCTTGAAATATGGAAGATAATGCTCAGGTGAGATATGGCTATAAACTTGGATCTTACATACATCCAGTTGGCACTGCTTTGTAGAGTGAGCCTTTTGAATCTGATCCCTTTTGAGTTATCTTGGGCCATATCTGGTGCCACTTATAATTACAGTTAATGCACTGTACTTTGGGTTTATTTTATCATTTTGGATTGAGTCACCTTATAAAAAACAGTCACAGCCATAAAACATTCACAACTATTCAAGACATGTAAGAAGATACCAACTTGAACATTGTACAGCATCCCTTTTATTAAGAAAGAAAGTTCTCTTGATGGCTGTGTAGTATATGCTTTTATACTGCTTTTATTGAACTTTGAGTGGCTCTGGAGTACCAGATTTCCACTTGCTTCAGTTCTCTGCAGGTGGCCTTTCGGTCTAGAATACTTGTTTTAGCCTTGTTGGTTTGACCCTCACTTATGTGAGCCCAAATGTCAGCTTCTTCAGGGAAGCTTCCCTGTCTATGTACTCTGCTTCTATACTAAATACAGTTCCCAGTACAAGCTTTCATAGCACTCTTTTCTTTTCTAGTATATCAGTTTCTAGTCAGTTAATTTTTTCTGTGTAACTTTTCTCTCCTAGACTGATGGCAGAGACATCTATGAGGGTAGAGACCGTGATTTTTGTTCGCTGTTGTATCTCAAACACATAGTATCTTTCACATAGTAGATGCCTGATTATACTTCCTGAATGTTTGAATGAAAGCAAGAATGAATGCATGTGGACACTGAATCTTTGAAATGCTCATTTTCTACTTTTTGCTTTGGCTGCTCAGGAGCTTGTATACTCTTTAATTCTGCCTGCACTGTTTATAAAATTCTCATGGCATGCATTTGTGCACTAACATTTCCCCCCACTGGATAACTTTCTTTCTTTGACTTTTTAAATTTTTTATTCCAGTAATACCATACATTTCTATAGGGCATTTTCAGTCTTCTTGGAAGAAGCAATAATAAATGTTTGAGTATATTAGTAGAAGAAAGGCAGGCATGAAAGGGGAAATGTTAGTGCCTTTTACCAGACGCAGGAGGGAAGTTTTATTTTGCTTTGTTTTAATTGTATTTTTTTGTTGAAGTGGGAAAAAGAAGTAAATTTATACCCCAATCTTGCAGTATGCCTCTGAAGAATTTGGGGGCTGTCCCTGACTTGAAACATTCTTTTCATTGGCACGGGTTAGGGGGAGCCAGGCACGGCAGGGCCTTCTGGCCCAGTGGATGGGTGGGCATGGTCCTGTGAATGGGTGGCATGGATCTATGGAGATATCTGCACTAAGCTCCATCTTGGCTGATTCTCCCCTGGGCAGGGTGTGGAGCTTGATATGTTACTATAAGGAGGGAGAAATGAACTTGTCCTCTTGTGTTGCAGATTCAGTGGTTCTTTCCTTTGACTCCGCTGGACAAACACTAGGCTCAGGTACCAATTCTTCCCCCTCTGTCATCTTTTCAGCTGTCAATACTGACCATAATTGTACTGGGGCCTGCAAGGGGGTATTGGAGGAGGGCGATGGATGATGTCAGAATTGTGGAAGAGTCTTATGAACCCCTTTTTGGACTTATAGTAGAGGGAATAGAAGAGAGACACATCATCTGGGGTACTTTTCTAATTGTGTTAAAAGTGTGTGATGAGTGTGTGTGTATAGATACATACATACATATATAGATAGATAGATATATTCAGTATATATATACTCAGTATATATATTAGTATTATAGATGACTAATTTGTTAGTTCTTCAAAAAGAACAATTTGTGCTTTCATTGTTTGATTGGTCATTTTTTCATGCCTAAATCTTGTGATCTGAAGAATTACTTTGAAAATAACAGTGTGCAATATATTGACTAGTGTTAATTTCCTATTTAAAAAAACAAAAAGGTGCGTGCAGAAGAAGCACAGAAATTGTGCCTTCCTCTTGGAGAATGGTCCAGGCTCATAGGAAAGGATACCATTTTCTGTGCTTATGTTCTGTCTGTGAGAATGGGACAGAGGCCATTGAGAGACCACAGCTCTCCATCAGAGCCCTCCTGCAGAGTGCCAGGTTGTGAAGGCACCCCCATTTCCTAAGGACATACCCTCTTCTTTGTGTTTACATGTACATCCCACATGCTCAGATACCAGTGTCCTCTAGGAGAGAAGTATCACTGCTGATGGTGCATTCCTGCAGGATCACCTAGGCAACAACTCCCTCCTTCCTTGTCTTTACAGTGCAGGACACACAAAATAGCACACTGCCCTTTGGCTCAGATTCACCCAGGCCAGGAGAGCTAGGCTGTCCTGGATCCAAGCAGTCCCTCTGCCACATGCCTTTGTGCTTGCTAGCAGTGAACAGGAAGGGGTGCTGCTTTAATTCCTTAGCTTGCTGTCCTTACAGTAGCCCCTAAACAATTTGGCCTTGCTGTATGTTAGTCCTGTGTTTTGAGATGAAGATGATAGTGTGCTACCTGTGAAAACAAGGGAGACTGCTTGCCTATGGAAACAGTTCATCTCTTTTGCAATCTCTTTGAATGTGATAGATGGATGCTCATGAAGTTCAGGTAGTTGTAGTAGACTAGACAAAAAAGAAAGATGTTCAGAGACTATGAGCAATGTGCTGGGAACTTTATGTACCTCTCAGTTGTCCCTCATAATTCAGAGCTTTGATATCTTTGATATTTTGATTACATTTTGATACAAGCTTTGATATCTTTCATTTTGATACATTTTGATACATTTTGGTACATACAGTTCAGTGATGTGAAGTAACCCATTCAAGACATCCATCTCCATGCAGCTTGAGAGCCACTCTGACCCCTGATCATCTTGCTATCTTGAGGTAACCCCACCAAAATATGGAAGCACACATCACTTCATGATAGGGCTAATCTTAGATAGGGACAGTTCTTAAGTAAGCCAAACTGGGTGTGGTAACACACTATAATCTCAGCACTTGGGAGGCTGAGGCAAGAGGATCACCATGAGTTTGAGGTCAACCTGGCTACATAAGTGAGTTCAAAGCCAGCTTGCAATACATAGTGTGACCCTGTCTCAAAACAAACAAGCAAACAAATCCCAAAGTTATATATATTCACTATGGGAAAGATTGGTCAATTTTATGACATTAAAATTAAGGACTTCTATGAATCCAGACTCTGTTAAGAGAGTAAAAAGGCAATGCAGAGAGTTTGTTTCTAGAATAAAGAACTGCAAAAATCAATAGGAAAAAGAAACAGCCCAGCAAGCAAAATAGACATTTCACCAAAGAGGAAATCCTCATTGCCAATAAGCCTATGAAAAGGTATTTGGTTGCATTAACACTCAGGGAAATGCAACTCAGAGTTACAGGGACAGGTACTACACATCTACAAAAGAGCCTATCTTGAAAAGCTTGATAGTTCCAGAATTTGTGAGCATATGGTATAGTGGCGACTCTCAATCTCCTCTGGTGCAGCCACTTTGGAGCATACCCTGTGATCTGGCAGTTTGTCCTCCAGGTGTCTTCCCTACCAGAATATTTGTGCAAAGTACATGTATAAGAATGTTTATAACCGCATTCTTTATAATTGTGCAAAACCATGAACAGCTCACCTACCTAACAACAGTAAAGGGAATATAAATATGCAAACTGATATATTCCTTTTGGTCAGTAAAAATGAATAAACTATACTTAGATGCCACAACATAGATTAATCTTAAATACCTTTTTGGGTAAAAGCACTCAGACAGAATACATACAGTTTTTCTGTGGAAATGAAGTTCAAAAATAAATGAAATTAAACTGTTTGTTTAGATATACAATTCAGTGTTAAAACAACAGAGATACTGCACAAAGGAATATGGTAAGGGATGGGCCCATGAGATCTTCTAGAGTTGGTGTGTTCTCTCTAGTGACCTGAGTGGGGCTTGAGAGGGTCCCCTTTCACAGTTACTTGTTACACTATACATTTATGTTTTTATGTGCTTTTGTATATATTTGTAATGATTCATATTTTTTATGCAGAAGGTGTGACTTGAATTGCTAGGTGTGAGATAAGCTGTTTATAGGCACTAAAAGGGTCAGAAAGTAGCACTGTAGGTTGGGTTTGCCTGGAAAAAGAGGAAGACCGGGGGCTGGGGATTTAGCTCAGTGGCATAAGCACCTGCCTTGCAAGCAGGCAGTCATGAGTTCAATCCCTGGTACCAATAAAAAAGGAAAAAGACAAAAAAAAAAAATAAATAAAGAGGAAGATGGCTATGAAACATTTATCATATACCTGAGTTCTAGCCACTTTTATATGTATGAACTCACTTAAGTTTCACAGTAGCGCTTTGAACAGACACTATTATTATCTCCATTTTTTCAGCTAGGGAAACTGACATACTGAAATAATTTATCCAATGTCAAGCAGCAAGCAAGTGGCAGAGGCAGCGTACGAATTAAGGCCCTGTGGCTCCAGGGTTCGTATTCTTATTCAAGCGGATCTTACTTTCTCTGTTCTTATTAGTTTTCAAGGGGATTTTGGTCCTCAGCTTCTATCCCTCATGGAGATATAAAAAAGACCTTAGGCTTATTGTGCAAATTATTGTGGACCATGGAATATGGTTCCCAGGCCTATACATGGTTCCCAAAGAAAGTTGGCAAAGAATGAGGACTCAAGATATTTTTTGACTTAATTTTCTCTTATTGGAGAATAGAGTCAAACTGATCAAAGTAACTTTAAATTACCATTCTGTTTTCCTGAGTGGAACTCCTGGATTGCATATCTAATCCTGCCTTATTCATATTCTTATGAAATATTTGCCAGTAGTTTTTCTATCTCACACTTTACCTCAGTTTTAAAAGATAGTGGGGAAGAGATGGGCAACTTTACTAGTTTTTGTTTTTGTTTTCTTAGTACGGGGGCCCTTCCCACTGAAATACATCCTTGGCCTCCTACCCTCCTTTTTAAAATTTTGAGACAAGTCTTTTCTTTTCTTTTTTTTTTTTGTTTTTTGGTATCAGAAATTGAACTCAGGACCTTACACTTGTGAGGCAGGTGCTGTGCTGTTGAGCTGTATCTGCAGCCCCTGAGGTAGGGTCTTGCTAAGTTATACAAGTTGGGCTTCAATTTGTGATCCTTCAGCCTCAGTCCACTGAAGTGCTGGAATTACAGGTGTGTGCTACCGTACCTGGCACTCCTTCACTCCTTCACTCCTTACTCTTTTTTTTTGTGCCAGAGATTGAACTTAAAACCTCACGCTTGCCAGGCAGGTGATTATGCCGCTAAGCTAAATCCCCGGCTCTTTACTCTTAATTGAAGAGAATTTGCTTAGCATTGGGCATACCATATTGTCAAAACATTTTAGAATTTTAGTAAGATTTATTTATTTTAGACAGGATCTCATTATGTAGTTCAGGCTGGTCTTGAACTCGCTGTAATCCTCCTGCCTCAGCCTCCCAAGTGCTGGAATTACAGGGGTGTACTACCATCTGGTTTAGTAAGATAATTTGAGTAAATCTCTATTTTTGTTTCTGTTAGTATGGTTGATTAAAATTGGGAGAATTTCACTGAATGCAAGTAAAGACCAGGACAAGATGGACTTTGTAGCTTTGAGGTCTCTAAAACTTAAATAGTAAGAGATAAACTGGGAAGAACACCAGAATTCTATGTGTTCTTACACTAGTGGTGTATTTCCCACTTTTCCTCCTTTGTCCCATGTTGTGAACTCTCAGCCATTGCTAAACCCAATAAGGAACATGGTGGCACGGACAGAAAGTTCCAGGAAAAGATCTCTAGTTAGGGCTCCTAAGGCTCAGACCCATGTAGGAAGTCCCCATGGGCTGTTTCTCCCCTTTGTCTGTTCTGTGTGGCCCCTGCCCTGAAAGGGTCCCATAATAGTGATAGTGGTAGTGACCTGGCAGTAGTAGGACTTTGGCACCTAAAGCTGAAGGGGAAGGGAGAGCCTTTGCCTCTGATGAGGGAACCTGTAGTCCTCAGACGGTAGGTGCCATTTTGGTTACCTTTTTCCCTTCTGCCTTTTTGTTACTGGGCCTCAGATTTGGGTACAGTACAGAAAGTTCATGGTAGAATGTGGTAACTAAAGCCCCAACTTTCTATCCAGAAGACCAAGAAAGGGAGGTCCCAGGAACCAGAAAGCACAGGTTAGATAAAAAGAGGGAGGAACACTTAGGGAAACAGACTTTCAGAACTGGACTAAGGAATTAACCACTGTCCAGGTCCCAGACTGGACACTTGGTGGCGCACATAGAGGATACATTTGAATAGGCTTTGAAAGTGAAGCTGACATTGAAACCAAGCCTGCAGAGGGCTGGTTAGAACTTGCTGCCTGAACCCACCCTACTCAATTGTCTGCTGAAACAAAAAATAACATTCTATACTGGATTTAACCAAGACCTAGAGTTTCATAATGTGATATTCAAAATGTCTAGGATATGAGCCAAAGTTAATCATCTTATGAAC